GGTGGGGAGTGGAGTTCCACCCAAGGTTTCCTTTGAAGTGGGATCTGCGGCCAAAACGCGCTGGAAAGCCGCCCTCTCGGGCACGTCCACGCTCGGGTCTCTGCCCGCCGTCCCGTGTTGTCAGCGTTCCTTCACTTCACCGCCTCACAGCAACCCAGACCCGTTCCCCCGGGGCGTTCAAAGGTGTCCAAGATCCCAAGTAGCTTAGCATCAGCCACCCCGTTTCCTGTGTGAAGGGGAGGCCGCTCAGCTCGCCCACCCAGCTGCAGAGCATCCGCGCTGCCAACAGGCACCGCCTTGGAGTCTGATCGTGGTGCTGGGGCAGGAGGCCTTCGCCATCAACAAAACATCACTGCCAGCGACCAGCGCAAACGGGGGAACCGAGGCCCAACGCAAACGGGGGAGCCGAGGCCAGTAGGAAACCTGGAGACCAGGGAGGTGGGCTCTTGTAGAGAACGGTCCTGCCCTGGTCCCTGATGGGTCCACTTCTATGCACATGAGGAATCCAAATTTGCACAGTCTGATTGATCAGATTTGTGCCTCCTGATTGGGCACAGCTGGGCGGCCTGAAGGTTAAGTGATTGAGAAAGCAGAGGAGGAAGAAGAAAAAGAATTGACGTGAACATGGCCGGACGAGAGCATCTGCAGTGGGAATGAATGCTGGGAAGCAGAGCGGAAGGAAGACTTCAGGCTCCCGGGTGGTGCTGGGCGATGGTGGTCAGCGCTGCGTCCGCCTCGCTTGGCAGTGGGGAAGGAAAGGGAGCTGAAAGGGAGGCCAGGAATTTGGCCTTTTTGAAAAGTTTCCTGGCACTGGAGTGAGTTGCTAGGGGAAGATTTCTCTGGAAACCAGACTGAAAAGAGCAGAGGCCCATTTTTTTTTTCTTGTTTTGTGCAGCAGGCGCTGGGCAGTGCTAAGGAGAGAGATCCATTTCTCACCAGAACCCAGCACTCTTCTTCTTCTTCTTTTTTAATTGATTTGAGAGAGAGAGAGAGAGACAGAGAGAGAGAGAGAAGAGAGAGAGAAACAACGCATCAACATTAACCAGCTGCCTCCTGCACACCCCCGACGGGGGATCGAGCCTGAAACGGGGCATGTGCCCTGACCGGGCCCTCCTGGCTCACAGGTCCACACTCCACCACTGAGTCACATGGCCGGGCCCCAGACAGTCTTCTTGAGGGAACATCGAGGAGCTGGTCGCTGCTTTAAAGCCTCACCTGCCCTCCCTGGTCCTGGGAGGGAGGCCGTGGCAGCTGCTGCATTTTGGGGACACCCAGGCTGAGGCCGGCAGTCATTCCCTTGCAGGGGGGAGGAGGGGACTCCTGTCTGCATCATAAATACCAGATGTGTGTCTCCCTGGAGAAATGATAGGTGTGCGCCTCACACATCTGTCTACCCAGCCGCCACTTAGTCATGCTCTGGCCAACCTTTGAACTCGGGCGCGATGGGGGAGGGGATGCGGAGCAGCAGGGACTCCAGAGCAGGGCCAGGCCTCGTGGGAATTCTCCCACGGTGGGAGGCGGGGGGTGGGGCACAGGACACTTCCCGGGGGCTCCAAGGTGCCTGGACGGTCCAGGGTGCCCTCCCTAGCTCTCAGGCAATGGCCGAAGCCCCTGGAACTTCCTCTCGCGCGCGGCTGAGGGCTGTGGCCCACCGTAAAGCGAAGGGTGTTGCCCAGCTCAGGAGAGGGCGATGCAGGACCCCACACGGGTGTTCTCCTCCGTGTCCTGAGGACTCCACTCCGGCTCAGGCTTCCGTGGAGACCGCCGGCTGCCATGGTGATGCCGGCGCCAGGGGGGGCCCTGGGCCCTGCCAGCGGCTGCGCTGCCCTCACCTGCACCTCACGCTGCCGCTCTTACCGCGTGAGCCCTGCGCTCTCAACCTCTGTTCTCCCGGAGCCTAAAGGGCGGCTCGAGGGGCGGTGTGTGAGGGGAGCCGTGTGAGGGGAGCCGGGTGATTTGACCCACCAGGGCCGTGCTGTTCGCTCACCTCAGGCGGGTCTGTCTTCAAGCCTCGGTGGGAGCCTCCCAGAGCCTCTCCCTGTCCCCTATGGGGTTCCCCCCCACCCCCCATCAATCTCAAAGGCTCGGTGTTCTCTGTGCCAGGATTGGGCTCATCCCACGCCACCTGGCCGGTCCCAGCGGCTCCTCTCCTGTCCGCTCCCCATGGCCACAGGGGCCTCCCAGGTCCTGGAAGGGGGTGACCGTGCTCAGGGGGACACCGCTCTTTTGGTAACGGACGTGCCACAGGAGGTGGCCTCATCCCAGAGCCTCTGG